TTATGCATATTCAGCTGTGAGTTCATTTTCATTTGCATGCACCTCATCTAAAACTTCAGCTCAGTAATACACACAAGAATCCGCATCGATTCACGCTATTCTGCACTATTTTTCTTGTTTTTAGAAGGAAAACGCATTCTGAGATGTTTATGAATTGAATTCGAAAGCTGATCTGTTTCATTGCAGCATGACATGACAGTGGCTGCAATTCTTTCGGCAATGGGTATTCGTCCAGCTGTTTTCCCATTATATGCTAGTTTGGTGTTAATAGAATTGCATAAGCACAGTGGAGGACCATTCACTGTGAAGGTATGGTTTCACTACAATATTTATTTCGATGTTTTCTTTTAGAAGTTTTTGAAATGCGATAAATGGCATCTAAAATTACCAAACAATTTTACTTACAACGGTCATCATTTAATATCATTTGTTTCGTTCATGGTATGACATGCAGTATTATAATATTTACAACGAGGGTACAGTCCATTTATTGAAACTGNAAAAAAAAGAAGTGAAAGGTACGCAATTGTAACTCATAGCTGTTGAACTCGGTATTGTTCATATTCTGTCATGTTCTGCTGTGTTGGGTGATTGAAAATGCTGTAAAATTTTCAGTTGTTTTATAAGAATGTAACTGATTCACCTGCGCTATTTGAATTTCCAATAGAAGGATGCGCTAAACCGTGTACGCTAGATTCATTCATTTCACGCTCACAAAAGTATATTCCCGATGACTGGAAAAGGGAATGTGGCCTTAAAGAGTCTAATCCTGAATCGATCTTAACGAATGCTTATAACAAAGGTTTGTTCATACTGTTAATTTGCATTCGCTGTAATAAAATGATACGTCTTCGTGAATACTGTCGCCGTAAGACTGGTTTAAGTTGAAATTGCTTTATCCGAACTGTTCAAATCTATATCCAATATATCAAAACATTTGAGAACTATGATCCGAAGCTTTTCAGAATGTCTATAGGACGTTATGAGATTGCATCGAAATATTTTATTTGCACTGAACTGAATTCTATCATATTTGAGGTGTGATACTCTCATTGTCAATATCAACTGCCATATTGAGTATGATAATGGCAGTTAGCTTGCTCAAAAAGTACTTGGAACGGCAACGTCGCTATGAAGGACGTGTTCGTCTGTCAACGTCGGAGCAAAGTTGTGATACGTTAACATAGCATAATCAGATTTAATATTTCACTTGAAATCTCATATCATTCAAAACTCTCGAATAATGTTTTCAATTTTTATCAAATCGTTTTGTAGGTTGCTCATCTGTGATCAACCTAATTTCCACTTAATCGATAATCAGTCTTCACTTTCTCTCGTTTCTTATATTTATATGTAATTCTAGTAATTATTAATTTTATTC